CGATGACAGGATGCACGGTCCTCGTGTCCGTGTTAGGCTCAAAGAGTGGTTCTGTGCACATGGTTTGGGTGTGGAGCGGGCTACGGCCTAACCACCGCCTTGTGTGCGCTTGATTCTCCAAATACAGCGTGCTTATGTTTGTCTGTGAAGAAGTGTGGGCCTGGATCCGTTGATGGAACGTGGCTTCCATCCTCATGCCTCCCGGTCTTATTCCTTCGTATTTACACCGGATATGGGGTGTTTGCTTGGAACTGTGAATGTTGCAGCGCAAGCCACTCATGGTCCCTCTGTAGGCGCAGGCCTCCTGTGCCTGTCTTATGGAGGCCATAGTGACAGCCAAATCCGGAACCGCATGCGCCAACCATGTTAGCACAATCACCTCTGGGGTGTCCGCCCAAACGCTCCCAGACACGGTCCGAGTCCACGCTCGTATTGCGAATAGAGCTGCAACTAGTCGCTATATATTCGATTTGCGCCAATGGCTCATCTTGGTCTGGTGAACGCCATGTCACCCTGCGACTGGTGTGGTGTCGGAAGCTATTACTCGCGGGAAATGGACGAGACACAGGTGTAGCAACCTCACTGTTATCATTACGGGAGCCTGCAACGCGTTGGCCGCCCAGATGCAGCACATCGGTGGACAGTTTTCTAACTTGTGTGTTCAGATCACCAGCAAGCACCCAGTATCCGTACTTTTTCTTTAACGAATGTGCTCGTTCGGCAGCTTGACAGTAGTTATCCTTCACCGAGTCGGTGCTGCAACTCGTTGGGGCATAGGCACCAATCTTAACAGGCAGCTATTATCCCCACAAGAGTTCGAGGCCTTGGACGAGCCAGTCAATTTGACGATGCGCATCCGGGGTTCAATGTATCAGGGAAGTTTCAGCCTGATAGCTGAAAGCAATGTCCACAGCAGCTTCACTGGCACTTGTAGCTGCGTGATCTCCGGATACACGCAATGAGAAAGTGCTGCTAATGTCACATGGACGGGATCGTAGAGTGAGCATAGAGCTGGAGTCTTGCAGGCGGATTTCCGAAGACAGCGGATATCGATCGATAGAGTCTCTACTTTTCCAACAAATGTTGCTTTTCGCCAGTTTTGTTGTCTAGATGCACACACTGAGACTTGCGCGTCTTATCGAGGGCTCCAAATGTACACGCATGAACTGTTATCTATTTGGTTGAATGTACTGACGCTGTACAATTGCTTGTGAGTCGAAACCAGAGAACAAATGTTTACCTAAGCAAAGGGGTAGGGCCAAGCATGGGGTATTAATTGGATGGGTGGTGAAAGTGAATTTCGAACCAGATGAGAAGGATGAACTGGCGTAAGAGTGGAAGTAAGAAGACGGGAAGTCATGATGAGTAGTGGTATTCCTTGATCAGTGTAGCAGATTGGTCGTCGCAAGTTATCCTGTGCGACGGTTAATGCACCAAATAATGTGCTTGATTTCTCATTATATTGTGTGGGCAGTATATTGTCAGACTGCTCAGAACTAGACAGGAGAACAACTAGAGTTCAACATCCTGATCACATGGCAATGGGAATTTGACAGCTGCCTGCATTTTCTCCGTTTTAAGGAATAAGGAGTCAGTATAATTCTAATTCTAAAGCCGGAGGCTGTTAGTCTGACCTTTGACCGACCTGGCGTGAGGGTTTAAAGAGCACCACTCAGTGAACTTCAAAAGATCCTGTAGCCACGTAGAGCATCGCACCATGTTGGGGACCAGACTTTTTGCCATGTTTGAAGCATTGAGTTCTCTGTATTAACTTGAATAGCACAATAAGAAGACGAGTGTTGCAAGATGGTACCATTTCATGACCTCTGTACACTTTCAAAGGGCCAACATATCAAATGACAACGTGTCAAAAAATCAATAATGGAAATATTTTTTGAAAGCGTGAGGTCACATGCAAGCGAAATAAACGTCGGCTGCAGGTTGAGGAGGTATCGCTCACTCCGATTTTGAGCGTAACGAGCAGTTGCTTCTGGACGCACAATGTTGGAGAATGCTATTTTATGGCCACTGCCTCGGCAAACTTGAGGACTCTGGCGTTCGTATTACAATAGATGACAGTGAACGCCGAGTTGGGGTCCATCTGATGACCCGTTTCCATTCTCCAACATTGTGTGTCCAGAACCAACTGTTCGTTACGCTCAAACTCGGAGTTAATAATTCCTCCTCAACCTGTAGCCAACGTTTGCTTCGCTTGCATGTGACCTCACGCTTTCAAAAAATATTTCCATTATTGATTTTTTTGACACGTTGTCATTTGATATGTTGTCCCTTTGAAAGTGAACAGAGGGCACGAAATGATACCATGTTGCAATACTCGTCTTATTGTACTATTCAAGTTATTGTAATGTGTCGATTACGTTGGCTAGTTCATGTCTTCCACATTACCATTGTGTGCTTTACTCGTTAGACACTTTTCGCTATCGCTCTGCCTAGTTGGACGGAACCGCGAAATGGCCAGTCGGTGACCTGGCGTAAGAGCATGATGTAATTGAACGAGTGATTTGGTCACACTGGTACGTGCCATTTTCATGGATGGTAGCCTTGGCAGGATCCATATGGGTGTCCGCCGACCTTGTCTGACATGATGCAGTCATGTAGTCAGTAATGTTTCTATTTTTTTTCTTGCTTCTGGTTGCCTATAGTCCATCTGCCAAACTTTATCCACTTTTTCTAACAGCATTTTTTGTATTCTGTCTGCGTACTATATCATTTTTTCAGCATCGCTAATGCCTTTGGTCATAGCGACGCACAGTTATCTTCCCGTTTGTGTTTCCATCCAACTGAGAAACAACTTCACTCCGCTACTCCATGGGTCGTAGTTATCTACTCTTTACAATATGTAGTCCAGGTAGCATTCATTGGTACTAGGTGAGTTGCATCACTGCACCCATTGTGCGAGGATCTGCAGCACAGCAGCCCAGGATTCCCACCTCAGGACGATGCTAACTCACACTTCGGTACCCCGGTCATAGTTCTTGAACCGAATAGAAAATAGTCTCGCTTTTGCTACTTGGCTTAAAACAGAACGTTTTTTGATCCTTTTCCCGTCAGACCCACGAGCCACCGCTTTGCCGTTGTGTGATCATTAAAATATTTTTACTTGGATCATTATCCGTCCTTTTCTGCTTTGTTTATATGCTCCTCAAATAATTAGGACAAGCATCTTGTTATGAAAGAATATTTACTCACTATAGAGCTTGGTGCTCTTTTCATCCCCTATTTGTATTGAAGATGCGCACTCGCTTCCATCTAAATGAAAAGTTTGACCATCACTAACACCCAAGTTACCCTTTCGTTGCTGTGTTTTATACATATCACCATTTAAACTCATTTGCTGCTTGTGTTCTCAGAAGACGCTGCCGACCGATGAAGTGATGGATTACCTAGTGGGAATCCTAGCGCACCAACCAGTAATGCTTGAGGATTCTGCGTCCGCCAAAGGATCTCATACTTCTTTAAATGGCAGCGAACAGGATCCTCTTACAGTTCAGGAGCTCGCGCTTTATGTAAGTAGTGCTCGAAGTTTTGTTTCGATTGTTTGTCCGTCACATTTGCAAACTTGCGGTAATCATACCGAATCTTGACATAACCGCACAAAGTGTCCATGCATGTCTTATCACTTTTCTCAGATTCTTTGTTGGCTTATGGGTGGATCAAATGGGCTGTCGGACGGCGATATTCAGACTCAAAGTCGACCGGTCACGCGAGTATCGGTCACTCAATTCGGTGGATCTGAAGCAAATCTTAATGAACGAGCTGCTGACTTGTTACCATTATTGAGCGAATTGTGCTGCAACGGTATGACTTTCGACTTTCCGCCTGTTCCGTGCTCTTCCGGATCCGGAACCCAGCCAGTTGTTCCACACACTGGTGCCCGGTTAAATAAAGGTTAGTATCAATGATATATTATCCTCTATATTCTCTTGATATTTGTTTGCCTTTCCAACGACCCAACAACTGATTCCACACATATACTCCATTGATCCCAAACCTCCACTCTTCACCGGACATAATCCGTTTACATTTACAAGAACACCAAGCAAACGTATTACTAATAAAAACATCAAATCGTGTCACAGCGCTTTTTTGTTATCTGCTTTATTATATTAGCCTCTTAATAACTCTTACACACATGAGTTTGCATATAACCATGTGGCGAGGCCTTCAAAGCGGCCGTTGTCTTTTCGCCAAACATCATTTTTTTACATTGTCTGCCGTATATATCTCAATTTTACACAATTACGCTGACATAATTTGTTCAATCCGATTCAAAGATCACTGAGACCCTCTACTCTATCCCACTTTGAATTTACACGCGAGATATCGCGCACGATCCCCGATATATTGTCTCTTGACACAAACTTCTCCGTCAGTTGAAACGAATTCTGAAGAGGGATTTTTATGAAAACTTTTCCATCTTGAATGTTTACTAATCCCGAAGATTTAGTTCGGCTTTTTGGGATCATTGCTCGATCGATCTATGACAGTGCATTCTTCTCATTTTTCCACCCATTTATAAACTTAGCATTTTCGGTGGTGACGCTTTGTTAAATTTACAGTTCAGAATGCAAAATGCTGAAAATGCACCCTTTTGGGTACATACAACATACTGACTTGACTTGCTCTGACCATATCCTTATTCAGAAATTTGGTATGCTCCTCGTTGCAGTCCGCTTATGTTTCGCAAGATTATTTACTACTCTGCTTGTACTTGTTGAAATTTGGGCCAGCGAGTTTGTCCACCTCTGGTCCTGTGGTCGCTCAATCCTCTGCTATATGACAGTTTTCCCCCACTGTCCACTGGATGTACTGAAACCAAATTGCCTGTTATTCGTTTATATAGCACTCCAACTCATCCAAAAGACCCGTCCTCTCTGCATATAAATACTTGGGCAGATTTCACCGCAGCCCCATTAGCTTTTTTCACACCCCTTATCTCGCATGAATTTGTAACGAATGTCGCTTTACCTAGACCGGAGAACTTGTCCACCTTCAGTTCACTGAACTCCATAAGCAACGCCAGGCCCATTGCTACATTCTGCCCAAATAGGGCACTTTTCTTCCAGCTGCTGTGAGCGATTCTACTTACGATTATATTGCATTAATAACCGTACATTACACCTACATCCTTGTGCACATTAATTGAAACAAACTGCGAAAAATTTAAAACAGTTAGTCCCCTTCAGTAGTTTGAACAACGAAATGAGAAGACGAATACTGGCATTGACCACTTTGTGAAACACCCACAAAAGCAAATGTTTTGGGGGTGCTTTAGTTATTACGGCGTCGGCGCCTTGCATCCAGTCCAGGGCATGATGCGCTCTCCACAATATATAGAAGTTCACCAAAGAAGAGCTGTTCCAGAACTAAAAAAGACATTTCCTGACGGATCTGGCGTATTTCAACAAGATCTGGCCCCGTGCCACACATCAAAATTGGTCAAGACTTTTTTCAGTACTAATCAAATAACCATCTTGGACTGGCCTGGGAATTCACCAGACTTAAACCCCATTAAAAATATGTGGTCTGTTTGCAAGCAACGCCTTCGTGGCATGGACTGTACGACAAAGGAGAAACTTAATCGAGCTTTAATTCAAGTTTGGTACAGGGACCCAAGATGGAATCCACTAAATTTGAACAAACTTTAGCCCATCTTGGGTCCCTGTACCAAACTTGAATTAAAGCTCGATTAAGTTTCTCCTTTGTCGTACAGTCCATGCCACGAAGGCGTTGCTTGCAAACAGACCACATATTTTTAATGGGGTTTAAGTCTGGTGAATTCCCAGGCCAGTCCAAGATGGTTATTTGATTAGTACTGAAAAAAGTCTTGACCAATTTTGATGTGTGGCACGGGGCCAGATCTTGTTGAAATACGCCAGATCCGTCAGGAAATGTCTTTTTTAGTTCTGGAACAGCTCTTCTTTGGTGAACTTCTATATATTGTGGAGAGCGCATCATGCCCTGGACTGGATGCAAGGCGCCGACGCCGTAATAACTAAAGCACCCCCAAAACATTTGCTTTTGTGGGTGTTTCACAAAGTGGTCAATGTGGGAATCACGAACCTTTTCTCCCTCTGACCTCCGAACATACTGACTTCTCTGACCATGAACATAGAAATGGCTTCCATCGCTGAATAGGACTTTTCTCCAATCTTCTTTTGTCCAGTTTTTGTATTTTAGTCCCAATTTGTAACGCTTAACTTTCATTACTTTTGTCAGAAGTTGTTTTTTCACAGACCGTCTGGCTTTCCGACCAACTTCCAGGAGTCGTCTGCGAACCGTTGAAGAACTGATTTCTATTCCTTTCTCCCCCAAATCACGTTTTAATGCGTCACTAGTCTTTCGAGGATCTTTAACACTTTCCCGTATTTGGTAATCGTCATCCCTGGCGGTGGTTTTCCTTTTAGGACCACATTTCCCTTTGCCTTTTGGCGAAATGCATCCCGTTTCCTTTTTCATTTTGACCACACGGCTGACGGTTGCCGGACTGACGCCTACTATTTTTGCTATGTCCCTGTAGGTCTTGTCTGTGTGTTCGTGCAAGGTCACGATCTTCATGCGCCTTCTGGGAGTCACTTCCATCTCAAACAATGACTGAAACACAAAAAACAAGAAGTTGAAACAAAAACCTTACTAACCATAAAAAGTATGATGCAATCTTGGGTGATGTAACGACTAGACATGCGCAGTTATTACATCGTCTGATTCACAAACAATGATGAAATATCTATTCCCAAAATAAAATAAAAAATAAATGCAAAACGGCAGCTTTCATGTATAAAAACATGATATTCATAGAAAAAGACACAATCGTAGTTTGTTTCAATTAATGTGCACAAGGATGTATATCCTTTAACTCGGATTCATTCATGATGTCAGGGAGAGTATAATCTCCCAGGAAGACTTAATTCGATTGGAAAACGAATTGAGTCAATGGTGTGAAGGCGAAGCATCAAGTGGTTTCAAGAACCTTCGTGTCCATGCGACGGACGTACCTATCTCTCCAATGGCTTGCGGAACTGAACTACAAATTAAATCAGCTAATCTAGCTGCTGTCATATGCGAACCTTCCTGGGTTGGCCACTAAATATTCACTACTTTCCACACTACTTGTACACGTCCCGGTAGCTCGTTCCGACACAGGCTTGTGCTTCCAAGCGTTGATTTTTGCTTTTCTGTTGGGGTTTGGGGCCTGCAGGGAAAGAATACAGTTCAATCGGAATCGCGCAGACAGAGGTAGATCATAACACATGGTAATGATGCATTCATACGATCTGTTACATGTTCTTTAAACAGAGGGCCCCACCTAGAATCTGTTAATCCCCCTTCCTTGTGTCACTATCCAGCCTCGAAAGCCGTGCTCGAGTAGTTCTTATTTGGAACTTACCGTTGCTGTGACTCATATGGTCACGTATGTGCTCAAGAAATTAGTTCCTGAGTTCCACACGCAATGTGTAATGTGTCAGATTTATTTCATGATTCTTTTCCATACATTTAACGTGACCTTCCGTGCGGTCGGCGCGACATTTGTACGTCTAGGAACACCATACATCCATCGGACTCCGGTTGTATGCTGAATTTAATGTCTCTATATCCTTGATTGAATTTTCTTAGAAATTCAATCTGGTTTCCTGATTCGTTCGCCATGCACATGATGTCGTCAATATAACGTTTACAAAGTGGCAGTCGTTTAGTCCTTTCATTCCATGAGCCTTCTTCTAGTTTCCCAATGGAAATGTCAATGAACAAAGGACCCAGAGGTGAACTCATTGCTAGTCCATCTTTCTGTCTACATAAATGTCCAGGGAAACGAAACTGAACATTGTGGGTGTATTGATAGAGCAACGTCTTCAGGTCCTCCATTGTCAGGCCAGCGCGCTTGCCTTTGCTCTCAATGTATTCGCCTAGACAATCAATTGTCTCCTTAACGGGGATATTTGTAAACAGCGAAGTGACATCAAGGGAGAAGAGCTATTTGTGTTTTACATTTAGGCTTTTTACAGCGTCCACAAAAGCAGAGTCCCTGCAACTGTACATAGCTAACTGCGGTCCTGTCAGTTCAAGTAACTCGGTCAACCATTTTGCCAATGCGTGATACGGAGAGTTGCTCATGTCTATACCATTTCCCGATTGATTGCATCCAGTATGCAATTGAGTTTCTCCCTAAGGATTTAATTTGCATCCGTAAGCCAATTAAACATAGTTGTTAACGCAATTGAACTGCATTCAGTGTCTTCCCGACGCACCATGCGCACAGTGTTGTAGAAATTGTGCAAGCCCAAATCAACCAGACGATATATATATATATATATATATATATATATATATATATAATGTAAAGAATCTTGCTTGTCTTTTTGTCTTTTTCACACGGTGTTATATCTTTTTTGTCTGTTTACTGTTTGCGATGTAAATGAAGAAAATCAAGACATACGTACACATTTTCTATTTGGCCCGGTTCTGCACCATATGAAAGTTTCCAGCCAGCGGTATTCTTCATCTTTGATCCTCTAGCTCGGAAGATGCACGAGACCTACAACAGCTAAACTGGAAATCAGCACTTTAATCGTTTGTCGCTACGTGATAGGCTGACCACCGCGCGATTTCTTCCAGGCTGGTTTTGTGCGAGCGAAGAAAACGCGTCGGGGCAGCCTTTCGCAGGTCACGCGTAAAACGCGGCCCAGCCACATCAATTGCCGCAGCGGTACCAGTCTGTCAAGTGGAAGTCCCGCTTTACCCAAGACACTACGTCTAACATCACCGTTTCGCAGGTGATTCATCCACCACACTCGAGCTATTCTCTGCAGACATCCATTGTCAACGACCGAAATCCGAGACGAATCGGCCAGGATTCACTCCCATACAGCAGTACCGCGCGAACACAGGCA